CGGTGAATGCGGTGTGGGGAAAACAGCTAATCAGCGTCTAAACTCTCATTGGCAGAAATAGCGGCGAGATCGGACTTTTCCACTATGGGGGGGTAATTTTAATATTGAGTCATCGTGTCTTTCATTCTCCAACACTTTTGACATACTGCAATCATGGCGGTGGGAACGGCCTCTTTGCAGGACCGCCTAGAGATATGGGCACAAAGATTGAGTAACCTGACTGTTTCTCCATTGACTCGCGATTATCCCGATACACAAAATCCCGAGAGCAAGAGAGTCATTGAAGCTTTCGAGTCTCTTCAATTCCCCAAGGATAAGCTTTCGGGCTCATCGTCCGACTTCACCGCTTTTCTGACTGCCTTCATTATTCTGGTAGCGCGATTGACTGGTGATGAGGACATCGCTGTGGGCACAAACTCCAACGAAGATGGCCGTGCGTTCGTCATCCGGGTCCCCATTGATACCTCGGAGTCTTTTGCCCAGCTCTATAAGAAAGTAAACGAGGTATGTATGTATGTTCCGTGCGTTAGTGCTTACTGCTAAAAGCCTTGCAGGCATATAAGGAGGGCTCTTCACAGATCGTGCCCTTGGGTAGCCTCCGCTCGTACATCCAAGAAAGGTCCAAGTCCGAACGCACCCCGGTCCTCTTCCGATTCGCCGCATACGATGCCCCTGCTGCCTCGCAAGACTACCCGGCGAACACCTTCGATACTACTGATTTGGTGGTTAATGTTGCAACTGGTTCAGCTGGAGTCGAATTAGGTGCCTACTACAACCAGCGTCTGTTCTCGAGTGCTCGTATTGCTTTTATTCTTAAGCAATTGGCCAGTATTACTAGCAATGCTGCTGCCAATCCGGATGAGGCTATCGGGCGTCTCGACTTGATGACCGAAGATCAACGCGCACTTTTGCCTGACCCAACATCCGATTTGCACTGGTCTAACTTCCGTGGTGCCATCCACGATATTTTTACTGCCAATGCGGAAAGCCACCCAGACAAGCTGTGTGTGGTTGAAACTCAGTCAAGCAACTCTCCTCATCGTGAGTTCACCTATCGCCAAATAAATGAGGCCTCCAACATTCTCGGCCATCATTTGGTACGCTCTGGTATTCAGCGAGGAGAGGTTGTTATGGTTTATGCCTATCGTGGTGTGGACCTGGTTGTTGCCGTCATGGGAATTTTGAAGGCCGGTGCGACTTTCTCCGTTATTGACCCTGCCTATCCTCCGGAACGTCAGAACATCTATCTTGATGTTGCCCGTCCTCGCGCTTTAGTGAACATTGCCAAGGCTACACGAGATTCAGGTGAACTTTCGGACATCGTGCGTACTTTCATTGACGAGAATCTTGAGCTCCGCACTGAAATTCCTGCGCTTGCCCTACTTGATGACGGAACTCTCGCTGGTGGATCCATCAATGGCCAGGATGTCTTCGCCAACGAGGTTGCACTAAAGTCCAAGTCTACTGGCGTCGTTGTTGGCCCCGACTCTATCCCCACCTTGTCTTTCACGTCCGGCTCTGAAGGCCGGCCGAAGGGCGTTCGTGGCCGACACTTCTCTTTGGCTTATTATTTCCCTTGGATGTCTGAGACTTTCAAGCTCACCCCAGACGAGAAGTTTACTATGCTGAGTGGCATCGCTCATGATCCTATTCAGAGAGATATTTTCACCCCTTTGTTTTTGGGTGCTCAACTCCTAGTGCCTGCTCGGGAGGACATCCAAAACGAAAAGCTTGCTGAATGGATGCAGAAGTATGGTGCCACTATTACTCACCTTACGCCTGCTATGGGTCAGATTCTTGTCGGCGGTGCCTCTGCTCAATTCCCTGCTCTTCACCACGCATTCTTTGTGGGTGACATTCTGATTAAGCGTGATTGCCGCTCGCTCCAGGGACTTGCGCCCAACGTCAGCATTGTGAACATGTATGGTACAACTGAGACTCAGCGCGCTGTCAGCTACTTTGAAATCCCTAGCTACGCCAGCAACGAGGGCTACTTGAACAATATGAAGGATGTGATTATGGCTGGTCGCGGAATGTTGGATGTGCAGATGCTTGTTGTCAACCGCTATGACCCCACTCGTCTCTGCGCTGTTGGAGAGGTCGGCGAAATCTATGTTCGTGCGGCAGGGCTTGCAGAGGGTTACCTTGGTTCCCCGGATCTAAGTGCGAAGAAGTTCCTTACTAACTGGTTCGTTAAACCCGAAACCTGGGTGGAAAAGGATCAGGCTGAATCCAAGAACGAGCCCTGGCGCGAATTTTACGTTGGTCCTCGTGATCGCCTTTATCGCAGTGGTGATCTGGGCCGTTACACGCCGTCTGGAGATGTTGAATGCTCTGGCCGCGCCGACGACCAAGTCAAGATTCGTGGTTTCCGTATTGAACTTGGAGAGATTGACACCCATCTTTCTCAGCACCCTCTCGTCCGTGAGAACGTGACCTTGGTGCGAAGAGATAAGGACGAGGAGCCCACACTGGTCAGCTACTTTGTGCCGGATATGAACAAGTGGGCCTCGTGGTTGGAGAGCAAGGGCCTCAAGGATGACGATTCTGACTCTGAGGGTATGGTTGGTTTGTTGCGACGCTTCCGTCCTCTTCGTGATGATGCTCGTGAGCATCTCCGGAGTAAGCTCCCTACATACGCTGTCCCTACCGTTATCATTCCTCTCAAGCGCATGCCTCTGAACCCGAACGGCAAGGTCGACAAGCCTGCCCTCCCGTTCCCAGACACTGCAGAGCTGAGCGCCGCCGCACCCCGCCGCCGCTCATCTGCGATGCAGGCCCTCTCCGAAACCGAGCAGACTCTGGCTCAAGTCTGGGCCAAGCTTATTCCCAATGTCACATCTCGCATGATTGGACCGGATGACTCTTTCTTTGACCTTGGCGGCCACAGCATCCTCGCACAGCAGATGTTCTTCGAGCTTCGTCGCAAGTGGCGTGTTATCGACATCAGTATGAATGCTATTTTCCGTAGCCCGACCCTTAAGGGCTTTGCTAGCGAGATTGATCGCTTGCTAGCTTTGGAATCTTTCGCAACCAGCGATGACAAGTCTCTAGCCGTGCAGGCTGCTAATCAGCCAGACGACGAGTACTCGAAGGATGCCGTCAAGCTTGTGAATGAACTGCCCAAGACATTCCCTCAGCGTACCGAGGCTATGCTCACTAGTGAACCCACAGTTTTCCTTACTGGAGCAACTGGTTTCCTAGGCGCACATATCCTCCGAGATCTACTTACCCGTAAGTCACCTTCGACTAAGGTGGTAGCTCTGGTTCGGGCAAAGACCGAGGAACAGGCACTTGAGCGACTTCGCTCCACTTGCCGCGCATATGGTTTCTGGGATGAAGCATGGACACACAAGCTGCAAGCCGTCTGCGGTGATCTTGGAAAGCCGCAGTTTGGTCTTTCCCAGTCAGTGTGGGATGACCTTACCAATCGCGTCGATGCTGTGATTCACAACGGAGCCCTTGTTCACTGGGTCTATCCCTATGCGACACTTAGACCGGCTAATGTTATGGGTACCATCGATGCCCTCAAGCTGTGCGCCAGCGGAAAGGCCAAGCAGTTTGCATTCGTCAGTTCGACTAGTGCTTTGGATAAGGATTACTATGTCCAAGAATCCGAGCGTATCATCGCCGCTGGTGGAAATGGTATCAGCGAAGACGATGATATGGAGGGCAGCAGAGTTGGCCTCGGAACCGGTTACGGTCAGAGCAAATGGGCCGGAGAATACCTTGTGAAGGAGGCTGGTCGCAGAGGCCTGAGGGGAACCATTGTCCGCTCTGGATATGTTCTTGGTGATTCGGTCACTGGAACTACCAACACTGATGATTTCCTAATCCGTATGCTTAAGGGCTGCATTCAAATTGGCCTTCGCCCGAACATCTTTAACACTGTGAACATGGTGCCTGTCGATCATGTGGCTCGCATTGTCATTGCCACTGCCTTCCACCCACCCTCCACGGGTGTCAACGTCGCCCACGTTACTGGACACCCCCGTTTGCGCTTTAACCAGTTCCTTGGTGCGCTGGAGCTCTACGGATACAATGTTCCTCAGGTTGACTACGTGCCTTGGTCCACTTCTCTTGAGCAGTATGTCAACGATGGTGAGCACAACGACAAGGAGTCTCAGCATGCTCTGTAAGTATCACGCTTTTCTAGCCTGTTAGTGGATACATACTAACCTTTCTTTTTCAGCATGCCCCTTTATCACTTTGTTACCACAGATCTTCCCTCCAACACCAAAGCTCCGGAATTGGATGATGTGAATGCAGCAACGGCTCTGCGGGCCGATGCCCCCTGGTCGGGCGTCGACGCATCAGCCGGTGCTGGCGTGACCGAGGAATTAGTCGGCTTGTACGCTTCTTATCTCGTTCAAACTGGTTTCCTGCCCCCGCCAACCGTTGCTGGAGCCCGTCATCTGCCTGCTGCTCAGATCAGTGAGGAACAGAAGAAGACATTATTGAGTGTCGGTGGCCGTGGCGGTACATCTTGAGATATAGCAAAACTCATGTATTTATTCTGATTTTACAAAAGCAATTACTCTTCCAACCCATCCCCCCTTTAATAACCAGGTATAAGTTTGAGCGATTAAAAAACGTGGCATGTATATATCCTGATAGTTCACGAGGCGTTCGTATCTGAACGAAAAAGCCCGATTCGCCAATCTACCTCTTCGTCGGGGCTCTCCGTTTACCTCCCCACCGTTTACTCTGGGGATTTATATAGTCCTAACAATATCATCTTTTCTTGCTCTTTTCCATATCACTCTCCACTGTTAATATTCTATGGTTGAAGGTAAGTGTGTGAACGAATGTCAATTTCCTCATCGATTTTTCCCGCTTTCTTTTTACTTCAACACTTCGACCACAACTGTGGGGGCTCTGTGAGAAGAAGCGGCTGTTGGGATTACTTGTCTCCCTGAACATCCGTATAATTCTTTGGTCTTCCTCAGTCCTTCGCCCTCAACAATCCTTGTCACCTTCCTACCTTGGTCCCTCCATGCATGCTGCGAGACTCACCAGGTAATCCGGTCTCATTGCGTATGCACCGGAGGCCTCCGTCGACTCGCCGGGTCCTGTGCCTGCGATTCAGTCTCACAGGAAGCACAGCACTGTCTCAGTGCCTCACAAACCCTTCTCATCCTCCACACCCTTCTCCTGCGCTGATCATAAAACCACCAGGGCAGAGTCGCCATTGAGCTGACACACATGTCCCAAGCCCAAGACCCGGACTGACATCTCTGGTGCGCATCTCACAGATCGTTATGCAACAGGCCTGCGCCTGAACAAGGAATGGGCAGCACAGACAGCCCGCGACCACCCTAAACTCTTCCCTACCCTCGCCTCGGGCCAGACACCGCAGATTCTCTGGATCGGATGCTCCGACTCTCGCTGTCCGGAAACCACCTTTTTGGGCCTCGAGCCCGGTGATGTCTTCGTGCATCGCAACATCGCCAATATCCTTCACCCCGGCGATCTCAGCTCCTCCGCCGTTATCCAATACGCCGTGCAAAACCTGCGCGTCAACCACGTCGTGGTGTGCGGTCACACTGCCTGCGGTGGCGTGGCGGCTGCGTTGGGCAACAAGAACCTGGGTATTCTGGACCCATGGCTGTTTCCCCTTCGCCAGCTGCGGGAGCGTAATCTTAAGCTTCTTCAGTCAATACCAACTGACGAGGCAGCCTCGAGACTGGCTGAGTTGAACGTTCGCGAGGGCTTGAACATCGTCAAACAGAAGAGTGTTGTGTTGAATGCGATCCGGGAGCGGGGACTCCAGGTACATGGTTTGATTTACGACGTTGGATCGGGTGTGCTCAGTGAGCTGGACACGGAGGATTCGGAGGAGGTTATTAGGGCTCGTTTGACGGCTTTCCAAACGGAGTGAGTTGGCGGCGGTTCGTGATTCTGGGGCAACTCATAAGTGATAGAACATAATTCTCTATATAGCGTGCATTTCATCAAACATGAACATAAAGATTGTCACTTTTTTTTGGCCAAGGGAGTAGAGCTATATAACTCAGAGATAGGGCATATATGGCATGATGGGGATCCATCTTAGCCCGGGAGATGTACCAATCACCATGAAAGATAATATTACATCCAATCAGAGGGTTTTGATCTATATTCATCATATCGATGGCTCTTTGACTATTCAAATTCACTATATCTTTCAACCGAATAATATGATATCAAGGCCTACAAATATACCGAACATCAAGGTGTAATAGTCACGTACAAATGGCCAAGGTTCCTTCCAACCTTGGAACCTTCTCTGACTTAAATACACCTCCGAAATTTCTTTCTTCCCTTTCTAATTCTCTACTTAACATTCATCATGGTTGAAATCTCATGTGGTAAGTATCCTTTCAAATTTTGACCCTTCATATAGACTAACAATCGAAGCCAACGATACAGACACCACGGAATCCAAGGCCAAGGATACCCAGTATGAGCCTGTGGGCACCCTCTGTGATTTCCGGTCTCTCTACCAGGCAAAGCGCGACGCATATGGCGCACGGTCATGGGTCAAAGAACTACCCTCCGACTTGCCTGAGCCTGTTGAGGATGAAGAATCGGCACAATATGCGCTTCTTGTGAGAAAACAGAAGTGCTATGATGGACGCAGAAACCTGTCTATTCATTCCATCGTAGTGCAAAGCGAACGTCTCAAGGAGTTCTTGAAACGGGCACTGAGCAACTATCCTGGTGTCACACCAGACTTGCAGCGCCTCGAGTTCAGATCGCCTTTCCCGGCTTTTGTGCATCGATGGGACGCAATCACTAAACTCCGAGATGAAGAGCAGGATCCAACAACTAAGGATCATGTGGAACTGTTCTACCACATCATGGAAGAGGAGCTCAGGGAGGTGATAAATCGCAAGAACGACTTGGTTGCCAAAGGAGTCATCACTCACGACTTGGCTTGGATGATCCTGGAACCTCAAGATGTGGTCCTTTCCTCGGGGGATGGAACGCTACGTGCGTATTCGCTCACGCGCGAATCGGATGATAGAACACCGGGAAGTGATTATTTCACTGTCGAATATGTTGCGTTTGACGGGAAAATTTTCGGATACAATTCCATGGGGATCATGATACCCAAGTTTGCGGGCACTCGACCAATTATCTCACTACCAGTCTTCCCACTCAAGTACCACCCAGAAAAAGACATCATCCGAGAATTGTTGACAACACGGGGCAAGAAGTGGGAAGAGTACAAGGGGTACCATTTCAAATCATATGAAGAGGCTTCGACCAGCACAAGCTCTGAAAGGCAGGACAGCAATTTGAGTGGGACCAAGCACTCTGTCAAGGGCCGCGTCATCATCGACATCGAGGCATACAAGCTTTTTGGGCGCGAGCACGGGTCTGTGAACGTCGAAAACGAAATTGGTGGAGAACTGAACAATTCTCAGCGCCTTATTGCGACTCCAATGCTCTACGGATATTCTTTAAACGACAAGAAATGGGGTTCGTTCCACGTAGACGAGTTAAAAGATATTGAATGGGATGAGCAGGCCTTTGATTCACTTGTCCTACCACGGGAGCAGCAGGGGCTCAAGGAAGTGATCTTGGCCGTTGCAAAAGCTCAATCCAAGAAAGTGGATGGATTTGATGATGTCGTTCGGGGAAAAGGCCGAGGTTTCATTATGCAGCTCAGTGGCCCTCCAGGAGTCGGAAAGACTCTTACTGCGGAGAGTGTTGCCGAGGTCATGAAAGTGCCTCTTTATGTCATATGCGCGGGCGACCTTGGAGTTGACGCTAGAGGGTTTGAGAGCAAATTGAAAGACATCCTGCGGGTAGTTCCTAAATGGGGAGCCCTTCTATTGCTTGATGAGGCTGATGTCTTCATGGAATCCCGTGATTCAGCCAATCTCGCTCGCAATGAACTTGTCTCCGTCTTTTTGAGGATGCTTGAATACTACGAGGTAAGCTTTCGACTGTGAGATGATCAACGCCAGAAGATACTTTGGGGGCCATTTGAAAAAAAAGCTCATGTTACTGATCTTCATCTTTCTCTCCAGGGTATTCTTTTCTTGACCACCAATCGTACACAGAATATCGATCCTGCCTTTGAGTCTCGGATCCACCTTTCTCTCACCTACAAGGACCTTGATATGGAATCCAGGCGCCGGGTTTGGATACAGTTCCTCAACCGCTCATCTAACACTGCGGATTTTACGGATGAGCAACTCAACCAGGTAGCCGAGTTGCAACTGAACGGTCGCCAGATCAAGAATGTCATCAAGACTGCCGGTCTCCTAGCTTGGTGCAAGGAACGTGAGCTTCGATATGAAGATCTGGAGATGGTGCTTACTTTGAGAAGTTTGCGGATGTAATGCCCGATTATGGAGTACTTATGGAGTAGACAGTGGCATATTCCATACTTATGAGACAGTTAGCTAGATCACAGGTTATCCATAACAAATATCCAAATGGCTTTTTTTGGGGGTCGAAATTTTTCTTCCAATAATATGCAGATATTCAAAGTGCTGAGTTGTTGCGTTGCATTCCGCCACTATCCGCCAGCCGAATACGAAAGGGCTGAACAGGCAACCGTTGAAAAATACATCAGCCAAGACCTTCAACTCCGCATTCCATCAAGTCATGTTCATTGAGACAGCCTTAGCGCTCAAGCTAACAATGCCACCAGTGTTCCAAGAAAACTTCCGGAAAGGTCCGTTCTCACCCCCCCTGAACCAGGCCGTCTAGGGCTACGGGGCTCTTTCGTTTAACCTCGTAAAATGGCCCACTCCGTTCCAAATGAGAGAACGTGTTGAATTTTCAATTCGACATGGCCAATGTAAGCCTCGTAAGGCTGTGTGATGGAATGCCGATCATGATTCGCCCCAAAAAAGCGTTCATCAAAAGATCAAAGCACCCTCTCTGGGGCTCTCTCCAGCGCTCTCCAGGGCTGAGCAAACACCCCCTGAGTGAGGTCGGATGTTGGGCGCCACCCTCTTGGCTAATACACACCCGCACGGTCCGATGATTTGGCAATAATCCAATCGATGCATAGCACAACTCCGATATTATGCTGTGGAGCACGCGAGCAGTCAATTTCATTTTAATTTTCTCTCCCTTTCTCCCCCTTATATTGTACAGCAACGGATTGGAAAACAGTCCGTGAAGACTTCCTCATGTTGACTCTATTTACTGGGTCATCATGATTGCCACTCGTTTTCATCATCCGCAGCGATTGATTTTGTCTGTTTTGGTGGTTTCCGGTCTCTGCTCCAAGTTACTTCACATATACCAACATCGATCTCTTCCCCTCTACCTTTTGGCCCTCTATTTTCCAACATTCTTTATCCAGGAGGCTCTCATATTCATTGCAGTATGGATTCTCCTATATACAACCTCCGGTCGGTGGTCAGTGGCCGCCGTTATCTTTTCGGCAATGCTCGCGTTGGTTCATCTTCTCCCTAAATACGATGAGCGATGATTTTGACTGTTGCCTTTAGGTGTGTTGATTTGGTAGCAACGGCGTCGCAAATTAGTTTCTATTCTCAGACCGGCAGTGAAATTCGATGGGATGCGGCCAGGTCTGTGGGCGCCAGTGCGCAGGGAATGAAGTTGATATTGAGTGGACTGGTGCCTATGGCGGCCGCTACAACAGTTATCTCGGTGGCTTCCTGGCTTATGGCTCAGGGGATTTGGAATTTCATGACCCGCTGGTTATGCTCCCTCCACAAACGCGGAGACACTAAGACTTCAGGCATGTTGCTAGGCCCCTCGGATCTGAAAAATCTAGTGTCGAATAGACCTCGGTTTTGGACGATAGTGGGTACTGTAGTAACGATCCTCCTTTGGCTGATCCGACCATCAATTCCATATAATCATATGACGGGAGCCCTGCCATTCACCATGCTCGGAGAGCACTCTCGGGCTCGTCGCATGACCGTGGAAACATTTCCGCTCCCTGAATTACTAGCGGAGGAATATCAAGAGCCTGCAACTGGTCACTATAAGGGGTGGGCACCGACATTGGACGATTCGGGTCACACTGCCTATGGAGATAATAAGCCAGCCTGGGCGCATGGCCCTCTTCCTGCTGCGTTCGAGAGGTGGATTGTGAATCCCGATTCAAAGACGACTGGAATTAGCCTGCAGGCGTCTAACTCGACTGTTGGAAGCGTCTCTAAGAGAGATGGAAAGGAATCTGAAAACCAGAACAAAACAGCAGAACCCCGACACTATTTCTATAACCCGGTTCAAGATCCCATGAGGATAAGCAACCTTGACCTGGAACCACTTGGTCCTCTGCAGGAAGCCCTGAAGGACCATGCCATCCCGATCAATCACATCGTTTTTGTATTCTTGGAAAGCGGCAGAAAGGACCTCTTCCCCCTCAAGAACGACTCTCGCTTGTACAGCCAAATTCGTGATTCATATGAATTATACGACGAGGAGGATGAAGCCGATCTACATGACAAATTGTCTCAGATAACCCCCGTCGCAGAGATGCTCACAGGGGAGCAATCTGGCTTCAGCTCCTCGGTCAACTCAACGAAGTCCGGGCTAGGTGGTCTCAGTTTCGACGGGATATTGTCAGGGAGCAGTCTCTCTGCTAAATCGCGTCTCGTCAACTACTGTGGTCTCGGGCCGCTCCCGGTGGACTTCATGCATGAAAATGATATCATTCCATACCAGCCATGTCTGATGCACATCATGGATCTATTTAACCAGCGCAAGAATTCGTCTGCCTCTGGAAATTCCACCGACAGTCACCTGGAACGGGAATGGCAAACCATCTATGCGCAGTCTGTCACTGGGAACTTCCAGGCTCAGACTAAGCTTATAGATCTGCTCGGTTTCAGCCAGGCACTATACTCGGAAGACATTGACGTAGAGGATGCGAAATACTTCCATGAGGGTATGGAAAAGATCAACTATTTCGGGTATGTTGTCAAGTAGAATGCACCGCAGCTGTATCTGTGTAGATACTAACATGGTATAGCTATCCCGAAACTGAGGCCGGGCCCTACATCAAAGACATGATCGACGAAACGCTTCGTCAGAACAAAAGACTCTTCCTTTCCCATTTCACCAGCACCACTCACCACCCTTGGGGCACACCTGAAGGCTGGGAACGAGATCGATATTTCGGTGAACTCCACAAATCACAACACGAACTCATGGATGCCTTCCTCAACGCAAACCGCTTCGTCGACACATGGCTTGGCGACTTAATGAAGATGATTGGAGATGCCGGCATTGCCAACGAAACCTTGACAGTCTTCGTGGGAGACCAGTACGTGCATTTCCCATCACTGACCAACGAACCTGACATCTAACCAACGAAACAGCGGCCAAGCATTTGGAGAAGACTCTCCCATCACAGGAACCTACCACAACCCACACATCAGCAACTTCCGCGTACCCCTGGTGTTCCATCACCCCTTATTACCCCGCTTGCACCTTAATGTCAACGGCAGTGCCGTATCCATCCTCCCCACAATCCTCGATCTCCTCGTGAACACCAACTCCCTCAACGCAGATGACACAGAAATCGCTCTGGATCTGATGAACGAGTACGAGGGTCAGTCTCTCATCCGGCCGTACCGCACCTCGCACAATGGCCGCGAGGCCTGGAACATGGGGGTTATCAATGCCGGTGGCTCGATGCTGAGTGTAGGCTCCGCGGCTGTGCCATGGCGTCTCAACCTGCCATTGAACAATGACTTCGAGTATCGGTTCACGGATTTAAACAAAGACCCATACGAGCTCGAACCTGTCACCGGCTGGACTATGGGATCGCTTGCTGCCGAGGTTCATTCCAAGCATGGGCCAGAGGCCTTTGATTGGGCTCAAAAGGCTGAGAAGGTTGGCCTTTGGTGGGTTGCGGAGCGGAAAAAGCTTTGGGATTACCGTGATCCTGAGGAATAAGGTGCTATTTACGATCATGGACAGCTCATGTTCTGTTTGCCTTTTTGGTCCTTGGAGCGATTTGCATAGCATGCATTCTGGGTCGGATGTATGTCCTTTTTTGTCTTAAGCGGCTGGACTCACTGGTGGCTACCCAGTGGCTAATGATTGTGTGTAATATCGGGTTGGGTAGACCTGCTGTATATAAAAAAGATTTGATATGCGCCAGTTTGTGATTCTCGTCGATTCTAGTGCAGGTGTGATATCATTGAACCGTCAACAGATCCGAACAGTCACTGTTTACTGCTTAATAGTATCCTATATGTAATTGTCTGTGGCGTCTGTAGAAATCTGGCAGTATCACGAGGCGGTAAGTCCTGGAAATACAGATCGTCCTTCCAAAGAGTGCCAAGTCAGGAAGAAGTTTCAAATATGCAGACAGCTAGACATACCGAGGACTCAGAGAATCATACTCATGTGGCTGAGTTTGGAGAACAATGACAGTCCGATACTAACAGTCACAGCTTTGCGCTTCATTTGTTGACGGAGTGTAAACAGTGACATTATTACCGAGAGCCGAGAAGTGCTGACGAGGCCTCATGGGTTTTGCGATCCACATGAAGGTGATCTTGAATCTTGGCGGGAATAAAGCACCACATTTTCTACGTTTCACCCCTTCGCTGCATCAGAGGGGGTCCAATTATTATCACATTGGCTTGGCCCTTCAGCCCCTACCATTGGTCCATGGCACTCAGTGTCTCCTTCGATCCGCACGTATCTTGCCTTGTCTAGAACCCCGACAATGGTTCCCTTTCATTTTCTCTTCTTCATGACTTCCCTATACCACGATCCTTAAAGAATGCTGTTCCTGAGCGTTTCGTTGCTGTTATGGCTGTGCCAAATCGCGCTGGCGCAATATTCCAGCGATGACCTCATGTCATTCGTTACAGTATGTGTTCGTTATACCACAATTTATTTGATCCCACTGACACCGCATGGTCCAGCTCCCCGACGTTCGGGCAGTGAAATTCAATGTCCAGTACAAAAATCGCGAGCGAAGTAGCCCCGGTTACTGGTTCGTCGCTCCTTACCTACACATGGGTCCCGATCCGCCCTCGAGCTTGTATGAGCAATATCAGATCGGTCCCCATATCTACGATGGAGAAGGGGTGCGTTTACACCAATCCCCCACGATATAGACCCCGACGGCTGACCGTATTCGGTATAATAGCGCCTCATCTGGACTGGCTCCCAACAATTCGATAACCGGAACGTCTTCGATTTCAAAGTTGTCAACAGTCTGGGCCCTGAGCCACAACTTTCGATGGTCTTGCAACATTCGTGGGATTCGAAAATAGACTCCGGGTTTGGACTGATCTTGACTAAGGATTATCAAGTCGAACGGAAGCTTCCTCTGCGGGCGGATCTCGGCATTTTTGACATCCATGAATTCAACATCCTAGACGACGGT